TATATATATATATATATATATATATATATATACATATATATATATATATATACATATATATATATATATATATATATATATATATATATATATATATATATATATATATATATATATATATATATATATATATATATATATATATATATATATATATATATATATATATATATATATATATATATATATATATATATATATATATATATATATATATATATATATATATATATATATATATATATATATATATATATATATATATATATATATATATATATATATATATATATATATATATATATATATATATATATATATATATATATATATATATATATATATATATATATATATATATATATATATATATATATATATATATATATATATATATATATATATATATATATATATATATATATATATATATATATATATATATATATATATATATATATATATATATATATATATATATATATATATATATATATATATATATATATAGTAAAAAATGGAATACATTAAAGCAGTTCAGTTATATATACCTTTACTTTAACACATGCATATTACTGCTAACTGCATGCTAGCAAAAACACATCTGCAACAAATATGACTCATTCCAGAATTGTGACCACATTTCAAGCATTTTCCATTTGTGTTCCTCATGCCATGCTGTAATAGTATACAACAAATGTATAATTAACTAAATATACATTATTAATGTAAAATTGTAAAATGTCTAAAACAGTATTTTCATCTTATGTTAACAGCTTAGCATAAATCTCTGATTCATAGTCCCTCTCCTGCTATCCAAAGCTACACCCTAAAGAGGACAGCAAAAGAACCCTCTCTCATGTGTTAAACGCGACTAATACTTGTCCGGTGGCATGCAGGAATTATACTCATTACTAAGCCAAAACTGACATGCTATTTCAGAGCGAATATTTAGAGTTGCATGGTAAACAATATAGGGAGAGACTAGGCGGAATAGTGGTATTTACTTGTGTTTTGATGTTAAACTAATTAAAATCTACATTATCGATGCTGTAAAAAGTCCCTTTTGAAACTGAAAATAATCACATCAATCTTTCACCGGAGGATTTTAGTGGCTGAACAACATTTCTGTGAGGATATAACCCATTTGTAACAACAACATCAGCTTTGCGTGAAGCTAAAATATTTTTAAAACAGAACATTACCAGTCTAAGAGAAATCCTTCAGCCATGGTGTCATCCTTTCTCCAGCTTGCAAAGGTAACTCCAATATTGATTCAGGTTTTTAAAAAGTTTTGATTTAGCATGTTTTTGCCGATTGCGCGCGTGTGCTCTCTCGCTCTTTCTCGTGAACGCGCAGCATGTCTATGCACAAACAGCAGTCGGCGGAGCTGCGTACAAACAGCTGCGCAGTTGTTTAAATCTGCATTTGCTGGCAAGCAGTTTGAGCTACTTATCGGTATTATGGGAGATGTCGGCCCGACTGGATGAACATTTTTTAGTTTTATGCCTTAACCAGATTATAGAAATACATATAAATACATGTAGATCATTTACTTTAATCATTACTATTGGAATGTGAAGAGACTTTCAACTAGCACAACAACAAATGTTTCTGAAGACAATCACCTACTGCACCTTTAAATACAAATTTAAAAACAAGGTATAATCAAATAAAAATAAAATTTTGTTAATTTTTTTTAAGCTGGTAATTAACTAAAAATAGGATTTTAATAAATATATCTGTTTAATAAACATGTTTTGTTTAAATGTAGCAAAATACCTTGTCTATATTCACTACGAAATGGAGAAAATATTCATTTTCAAAATGGGCTGTACTCAATTATGCTGAGCACTGTACTATGTAATAATATTCACATTCCAATATTACATTAATTAATTTTAAGCAAAATCACTTAATTTTACATTTACTCTTACATAATCTTACATAAAACTGTGTTAAAAATGTAATGGTTGACCAGCACTAGTGTAAATGAAATATACTTGACTTCTTACATTTTTATTCTGACATTGTAATCACTTATAAGTGTTAATTTTTACACTTCAGAATCTTTTAAAGCTTCTTTCTTTCTTTCTTTCTTTCTTTCTTTCTTTCTTTCTTTCTTTCTTTCTACTTCTCTTTCTTTGGAAAGTTAGACTTACAGCCAGTTTAATGGCTCTCTGGGTGAGCTGTTTCCTGGAATCCAAAAAAACACACACAGAAGTATACAAACATTCCAACACCTACTCGTATTACCCATAAATTGAAGGCTAATTGAGAAGAACTGAAAGGCAGGTGAGGGAACTGTCAAATAATGCACGCAGCTTGTTAACTGACTCAAACATTAAGTTGATATTTCTACTGTTGTCAAGAAAGAATGTTTAGAGATGACCAGTGAATGCTTTTAATCAAGCCAGTCTTCTTTAAACAGGTTTAGTGATCAATTGACAATCAGTGTCAGCGTGTCTTTAACTATAGTGTTTGTTTTCAGAAGAAGGAGTTTGGCAGGCTTGGTTCCTGATCAATGGTTTCATACGACCGTCCTGTTAGGAGAGTGTATACTGTAGATAATCCAACAAGGAGACTAAGACAACACTGTTACCCATTTGACTGCACCAAATTGGCCTTTTCCTGTGTGCTGAAGTGAATACTTTGAAAAGTTTAAACGCATAATAGTCTGTAGTTCTTCACAGGTCACCTCACAGAAGCATAGCCCACTTTTGGAGGCACGTTTGGCCCAACCCAGGCTTGAACAATTAGCAGTGACAGGAAACATTTGACATTGACAGAAAGCACCTCTGTTGGTGTGCTAAAAGCTCCCGTGGACAATCACAATAGTAGAACACATAAGGATTTAGGATGAAACACTTGGTAGTGCAACATTATATCGCATGCGCTTCATTCATATCCATTGGTCTTCAATTAAATTCTTAGCTCAGTTTGAGTTTGTGTTTTGTTGAGAAAGTATCAAGTATAGACTGAACTCCACCAACTTCTCACACATTTAAAGGGATAATTTACTTAAATAATGAGGTTTTGCTTTTAATTTGCTCACCCTTAGGCCATACAAGATGTAGATAATTTGATAAGAGTA